AGTAAAACGGCGACTGTTGCGTCATGGCTGATGGTGTGTTATTGTATGCGAACTCGATGAGTGGCAGCTGCTGTTCCCACGTATTCGGATCGTCGCACGTGGCTCGAATCAGCTGCTCCATGGTCTGATTTGTCCGTTCCGTCTGTCCGTCGGTTTCGGGGTGATAGGATGAACTAAACTGTAAGCGCGTGCCGAACTGCTGCCACAGGTTCCGCCAGAAGTTGCTTGTAAATTTCGTGTCCCTGTCGCTGATGATCGATGCGGGTATCCCGTGCAGTCGAACGACGGTGGTGATGAAGAGTCGGGCGGTTTCCTCGGCTGTGATTGATTTCCTGCATGCTGCGAAATGAGCCATCTTCGTTAGTCGATCGACGACGACCAGGATCGCGTCATTCCCACTCGCCCCAGCTGGTAACCCCGTGACGAAATCCATCGTCACCTGCTGCCAAGCACGCTCTGGGGGCGGGATGGGTTGCAATTGTCCCGCCGGCCGCTTCCTGCTTGACTTCATGAGCTGGCAAGTGGGACACGATGCCACGTGTCGTTGCACATCAGTCAACATTTCTGGCCAGTAGTAATACCGCTGCAGCTGTTGCCGTGTTTTTTCTACCCCGAAATGTCCCGAGGTAACTCCGTCGTGTGCTTCCTGTAACAGTAGTTCCCGCAGTAGCGTGTATCCTGGTACCCAGATGCGGTTCGTTCCAGCTTTTACGTAATAGACTCCTTTTGCCGCTGCGAATTGTTGTGAGTTGCCTCCTGTAAAGAACGGGTCTGTTTGATATCCGTGGGTAAATAGGCCTGTCGGTAGCGGGCTGGTCTGGGCGAGTAGTATCGCGTGGATCTGGGCAGTGGGGCGGGTCAGTGCGTCGGCGATATTCGAGGCTCCTTTTTTGTATGTGACCGTATAGTGAAAATTCGACTCGAGGAAATCGAGCCATCGAATCTGTCGTGGGTTGAGGTGGGGCTGTGCGCGGAGGTACTGTAGAGATCGATGGTCTATCCGCACTGTCACGTCTGCGCCGGTCAAGTAGCAGCGCCACACTTTGAATGCGTGCACGATCGCGAACATTTCGCGGTCGTGTATCGGGTAATTTCGCTCAGGCGGATGTAGTTTGCGTGATTCGTAGGCGATGGGTTGGAGGCCGTCGCCGAAGTCCTGTAACAGTACAGCTCCGATGGCGGTGTCACTTGCGTCGGTAACCACTTCGAAAGGGCGGTGGGGATCAGCGATGCGTAGAACGGGTGGTGAACAGAGAACGTTTTTCAGGGCAGAGAAGGCAGCATGCTCTTTCTCCCCCCACGTAAAAGCGACCCCCTTACGCAGTAAATCAGTCAGTGGGGCTGTTAAACGTGCCATGTCGGGCACGAACCGTCGAACGTAATTAACAAAACCTAAAAAACTCTGCAGTTCCGTGATGTTCGTCGGGGGGCGCCACGCTTTTACCGTATCCAGCTTCTTTGGGTCAATCTCAACCCCAGCCTCCGAAATGACGTGACCCAAAAACTCTAGCCTGTCCCGAAAAAACTCGCACTTGGAGCCCTTGGTGAGTAGCCGATGTTCCTCCAAAACCTTAAAAACTGCTTCAAGATCCACTAAGTGTTGCTGCTTATCCCGGCTGTAAACTAGAATATCGTCCAGGTAAACTATCACGCATTTATCTAAAAGTGGTCTAAACGCCTCGTTCATGGTCATCTGAAATGTCGCAGGCGCGTTCGTCAGCCCGAATGGCATTACTGTATACTCGAATGACCCGTACCTAGTCCTAAATGCTGTTTTGGCGCAGTCCGATGGTTCGACCCGAATCTGATGGTAACCTCCCCGTAAATCTATTTTCGAAAAGACTCGTGCTGTTCGCAGTTGGTCGATCAGTTCGTCGGCGCGGGGGATGGGGTATCGCGATTTGACTGTTACCCTGTTAAGCGCTCGGTAGTCGATGCACATGCGGAACCCTCCGTCTTTTTTCGGTGTGAACAGTATCGGTGCGGCGAACAGTGACGAGCTCGGACGGATAAACTGCTTCTCTAACAGGTAATCTAACTGCTTCCTTAACTCGTCGAGCTCGGGCTGTGTCAGTCGAAATTGCCGCTGTACAGTTGGCTGTGCCCCCGGTTCTAACTCGATCCTATGGTCGTGTGCCCGCTGAGGTGGCAGTCCCTGTGGTAAATCATCCGGAAATATCCCCGGGAACTGTTTCAGTAGTGCCTGTAGTTCGGTCAGTACAGTTGCCAGCAGTTTCTCCAAATCACTCGGCTGCTCATCTTTTTCTAAGAGTGCGATATCCACTGCGTACACGTCAGCTCCAGCAGCGACAGCCCGTTTCATCGTGATGGCGTTGACCTGGACCGTCGAAGATTTGGGTGGTTGCCAGCGAGGTAGAACGACCCAGTTACCATTACTTCGCACTGTGCAGCTCCCCGTCGTCCAGTCGATCCGTGGGTTGTACCGTCGCAGCCAATCACGTCCCAATAAAATGTCGTGCCCATCCAGTGTCGTCGCGAGCATTTCCTGTGTAAACCCGAAGTTCCCCCCGCAGCGGACTTTTACGCGCTCCACCTTTTCCCGTATGGCCAGGGGCGTGCCGTCGACTAAGCGTGCATCTATCTCAGGTAAACATCGGTTAAGCGTTAACTGTAATTTTCGTGCGGTTGCGGTATTAACTAAGCTGTGGCTTGCTCCTCCGTCAATGAAGATCTTCACTGCTGCTCCCTGTATTTTCCCGTAGATCAGTACCGGGCAATCCGTCGCTGTACCCTCCTTATTCATCCGAGCCCGATCGATGGCGTGAATCGGTACTGTGACTCGGTGAGGGTCGGTGTGGTTGGGCGAGCAGGCAGTCTCGTCAGTAGTTGGCCCAACTTCTACTGACTGCTGGCGTTTCCCTGCCTCCGAGACTCCCTCCCCTGCTCTGCTCCTCGACGCCTCAGCTCCTCTGGACATTCGCTCTTGCGATGGCCCGGCCGGTTGCAAGCAAAGCAGCGCCCTCTAAACGGCGCGGCAGCTGCATTCGCTGCGACGGCATGTACAGTGGCGTGCTCGGTCGGTCCCCGAGGACGATGTCCGTAATAGGACCCCGGTCTCGGTCGGCGTAGGATATCGATTTTCTCGGCGAGCGCGAGGATCTCGTTGAAATTCGAGAGTCCGCGTAGCATTATCTCGTGCGAGATGTCCGGCTTCAGCCCTCCGACGTAACAGTCCACCCGCTCTGCCTCGTGCATGTAGCCGACCTGTTCGCAAAGTGCGAGAAACCCGCTGGTGTAGTCTTGAACTGACCCGAGCTGGCGCCAAGTGCGCAGTTTCTGACGCGCCGAAATCGAGGCCGCGATCGGCTCAAAGCGCGCCCGAAGTCCTGCGCACCACGCATCCCACGTGCTGTATTGGGCGGTTTCGCAGAACGAACTCCAGGTAACAGCTGGACCCGAGGGCCCTTCCTCGTGCGACGGTGGCTCGTAGGCGCGCGGCGACGTCACAATGACTCGCCACCAGTCCATGGCGGGGCCCCTGAGTAGTGAAACCGCATACCGGATCTTGGCGGCGTCCGACTCGACGTAGTTGGCGTCGAAAAACACATTCATCGTGAAGACCCACGATTGAACTGTCGGGCCGCCGCGTTGGCTTGGGTCGAAGCAGGGCGGGCGTTGCGGCTTGAGTGGCATTGGGGCCATCATGGCGTTCTCGCCACTTGTCGCCGCAAACTCCACGTGCCGACGGGCTTCTCGGGGCTCCCGTGGGCTTAATGCGCTCCTGTTCCCTCCCATGCCGGGCATCGGTTGGGCTGCGCCGTAACTGGCTGCGCCTGAGCGCTGTCCCGTGCTGTTGTGTTGCGTTGGTGTGCCGGATGAGATGACGATGGGCTCCTCCAAATGTGCAGATGCATTGGTTTGTGCGTGTGATGTCGTCGGTACGTTCACCGTTGACTGTTGACGGGCGGAGTCACGTTCCGCCGTGAGAGTCGCGATTTCGAGCGCCGAATCCTCCAATTGACGCACGAGACGATCGAGTTGCTCCTGCGTCAACGTGGCGAGATTGAAATCGGCCATGGCGGGGGTGTCGGGCAAGCTCAGCGAGAGCCTCGGTCGTGGCCGTGCGTGCTTTCGAGAGAGCACTACGAGCGGCGGTGCTGTGTCGCTGAGAGACGTCTAGCCCCCCCAAAAATTGAGATAGTGGGAAGCGAAGGTGTGGATGCGGTCCGAGATGAGACCGTAGGCTCTGAATACCAAGTGTTACGAATGCAATTGAGTGAACGAACGAGAATTGCACTATCGAAGCAAGAATACAAATGAGCGAAGGCATGAGCGAACATTATATAGCGAAACTATAGTGGTAACGGTAATGGTCGCGCGACGAGCCTGGGACTGAGGTTGGGAAAGTGTCGAAGCGTAGGCCCGGAGCGCGGGTTACCAGCCGAGCCGTGAGGTCGGGATGCGATGTGCGAAAAAGGGCGGGATGATGAATGATGCGATGGTCGCAAGTGGTAACGGTGCTGACTGAGGTGCTACAGTGATGTACGCGTTGAGCAGGGACGCGAAGTAAGGAAAAGGGAATTTCCTTACACTAATGTACTATTCTTTACGCGTAGATATACATTATATGATATGCACAGTCCACTTTCCAAGGTGTTCACTACACACATCTGTGCTCAATCAGACTCATGACTCACAATACAGTATCTCAAACCTATCCTATATGACAATGCCATTGACCAGCATGGCTTGTACAACAACAGAATCTGTCAAAGCAACATGCACACAATTGCAACTGACAGTCATTCTATGGTAACCAAAACATTTAGAACTTCCAACCCGTAGCCACTGCAATACCCTAACAAATCCCCCAGCAAAATCCCAACAGCCCCTCAGAATAGAACAGCCAACTTCAACGGAAGCACGCTGGCGGTGCTGCCATTTGACTTGTGTCCTCACAGTGCACTTGGTACCGGTACTGTGATTTTGATATTGTCACTGACTTGACTCTCCTGTTGTTTCATGTTTGACACACTGCTCTACGCAAAGAGCAGAGAGGTGAGGGCAACAGCAATGGCAGTGGCCAAGACAGTGACTGGTGAAGCGAGAGAACCTGGTAAGGGGAGGACAAGGTGGGAGTCACATGAGAGCAATAGAAAACCATTTGTGGAAGCAAAAGAAGGGTGGGAGAAGGGCATGTGATTGTCTCCGAAGAAAGGGGGAGGGGGGGGAGGGAGGGAGGGAAGGGGCGGGGGACGAGGGGAAGCAGGGAAGCGAGGGGTAACATGCTGAGATTACAGTTGCAAAAAACGACAACAGTAGAAGCGATCAACCCAAAGCAGAGAAACCAACTCAGAAGAAACATACCAGCAGGCTTAGGTGGTGGCGGTGGGGCAGAAGGGGAGGAGGGAGTAGGAGATGCAGGGGGGGTGCTTGGGCTGGGGGCGGGGCTGGGACTGGGGATGGGGCTGGGGGTGGGGCTGGGGCTGGGAGCACCTGACAAGTGGAGGGCAGGACGGAGTTGGGACAGCGGGAGTAGAGTCACATGAGAGAGCTAACAAACGAATAGTGGAAGTGATGTAAGAGATATTGTAGAATAACGGTGTCGGGGACATGGGCACGCGGCTGCCTGGGAAGAAAGAAAGGGGGCGGAAACAGGGAAACAGGAGAGAGGAAACGGGCTGAAATGAAAGCTGTGGGAAACGAGAGCAGCAGATATATCCAACACAATGAAGAACAAAGGCACAGAAAGCATCATGGCAGCAGGCTTGGGCGGTGGCGGTGAGGCTGCAGGGGAGGAGGGAGTACGGGAGGAGGGAGTAGGGGAGGAGGGAGTAGGAGATGCAGGGGGGTTGCTGGGGCTGGGAGAAAGATGAGCAGCAACAAAGCTGATGGTGTCAATTGTTGTTGTTTTGAATGCGTTCAATTGAGCAGTGGGCGTCGGAGTGGGCATGACAAAGGTGAAGGTGAGCAGTGAGTGTGCCGTTGTTGTGGACAGTGAAGTCGAGACCTCTAGCGGAATCACCACCAGGGGGCTAAGTATGAGGAAGGAATAGCTGCTTTCGGAATACAGCGAGCTAACTGTCGCCGCGCACCACCGAACCGCCGAACAGGATTGGCAACTCGCTTGACGGGCTTGCCAGAGGAGTCCACAGCAGTGCCGTTGGGCAACAGAATGTAGTCCTTGCCGAAAGGCACACGGCTGTTGGGGTTTACACCCCGCCATTGCCCGTGCTTCCGCCATTGCCCGTGCATCAGCCCGTGCCTGTGCTCCCATGCCAGTGCCTCCGCCCATGCCCGTGCTTCCACCCGTGCCCGTGCCCGTGCCCGTGCCCCCGCGAGTACCTGTGCTCCCGCCGCCGCGGGTGCCGTTCGATGGCTTGAATCTGAGGCGCGTTCGCAGCACGACGCCGTTAGAACCGAGGAACGTGCCGTTCGACCAGCCCGTGATGTCGCCAGCAGTGAACGTCTTCGCGGCGTCGTCCTCGATCCACGGGATCACATTGTTTGTCGCGGCGTCCCGGGCGACGCCGTCAATGCCGAACAGCTTCGTCTTCGCGATTTGCACGTAGCTGGCCTTACCGGCGACCGCTATAGTCACACCAGGTGCGACGATGGTCCCGTTCGGGTACCACGTGTACTTGCCCTCCACCGTGAGCGAGCCGTCGGGGTTTTTCTTTGGCTTGACGATGGCTTTGGTTTCGTTGTCGACGATGGTCTTGCCGTGGATGGTGTAATTGTCGACCGTCAGGCTGCGGTCGGCGTTGCTGATAATGAGCGTGCCGTGTTTCGTTGTGGTCACGGCGGACGTCGAGATGGTGACCGCGAGCAGCAGCAGCGCTAAGGTGAGGTATTGGCGCTCCATGGTCGTTATCGCCGCTGGCAGTGGGTGAGCGCGACGGAGGAGAGGATTGAGCTATGCCACAGTGTGCGCGAAAGTCGCAGCGCTGGCTCACTGAATGTATGAAGCAGCAAGATTTTGGAAATTGATATGGGTGGACAGTGGATATGGATACGTGAGGGAGTGCTGCCTCGGCGGAATGCTTCCTCCGCGCGGTCCTCCCCGGCGAACAGGTGTGCGGGATGCGCCATCCACACAGAGCACAAAATGAAAGTCCTTTCCCAGAGTTGGGTTTGGTGGTGGTGCGCCGCCTCCTCCCCTACAGCGATTTGTGGATTGAGTGGTCCGGCTGGTGCGTGATGATTCGCCGCGACAGTAGAAATACGATCGTCCCAGTCGTGGCGGCTGTTTAGTGGCTGACGCATAGTCAGATTTGCAGATGAAAAGGACAAGGTTCACTGGCTGCGATTTTTTCGGCGTCTACAAGCATCGTACGCACATGGGGGCGAGGAGGGGTGAGTGGTGGAAGGAGGGGGGGGGGGTGGGGGGGAGACCATAATGAGTTTGCGGCGGCGGGTAGAGCGCATCGAGCACCCAAGCCCAGTCTTGGGCGACTCGAGGATGATGATCTTCAGCCCTAGTTTGATGGGAAAATATGCCATTCGTAACCATCATGGGACTCGATAACCTAATTGGTAAAAAAATAAAGGGTACAGTCACTGCGAAGGGTGTTTTCACGCGACTGATAGAACGTTTCACGGAATCAGTCACTATCAACTGGTAAAAAAAACGCGAATGGTCACAGATGAAACTCCCGCCCAAAAAAGATAATACCCAAAACGAACCTGGATGCATTTTCGGATGAATCAACCCTAAACACAATTCGCCAGGTGTTTAGGGTTGATCCGTTCCCAAACCGCTTCCGATTCCGATTGGGTTTTAGTGTTGATTGAAATTAGCTGATTGGTTGGGTGCGAGCGGGAATTTTGTAGAGTTTCTGTAATTTTTGGCGGGAGTTACATGTATGACAATTCGCGTGATTTTTTACCTGCTGTTAGTGACTGAATCCGTGACCCCACTTACCAATCCCGTCAGCAAACCTGATATAGTGACCGTACGCGCTACTTTTTTTACAATTCACGTTATGGAGTCCAATGATGGTTACTTGTGACATATTTTCCCTAGTTTGATTGTTTCTTGATAAAGTAATGTAGTTGTTGTTCTGTATAGCTGCATGGTTAGGTTTGGAAGTGTACACAAAATTACACTCATTTGAGTCTGTTTTGAGTTGTTGGCTGGCAGAGATCAGAGAAGTGTAGTCCGAACGAAGGTCAAACAAGGCCACCGTAGGTTTTTATGTTGGCTTTAAATATGTGTAACGCGAATTTCCTGTATCATCCAGCTATAACGACAGGAAATCCAGACTCCTTACTAAAAGATTAGTACACATTTTATGCCAATCGGCCTGTCAATGTGTCGCCCTTTTCACTAGATCCGTTTTCTGGCCGTTGCGGAGATACACTCTACAGCGGTCGGGAGCTAGCAGGGCTTCATATTGGTTTTGGGCCACCCTTTGTAATTAGGGTTCTAGGAAAATTCAACCCTGGTGCGTAGGAATTTTATTTTCCCTGACAAAGATAGCGTAAAGGTTTATTAGGCTGAATCAGCCAAACTAAAGTTGGCACTATACTAGCTTCGCAGCATAAATGTTCAGAATACTGATGTTAGGCTATTTAAAAAGAAGAAGAAGAAGAAAAAAAAACTATCAAGCTGTGTTATGCACCAGCTACACAGGGCCTTGCAGATATTCCAGCACCCTTCATAGTTCTCATTCTCCACTAACAGGGTTTGATGACTCTACAACGCCTTCTGCAAAAAGAGCCTCGCCCGGATTTGTGCCACTGAGGTCATTGGTTGACCGCCTCAGCTTCTCTCCCCTGAAGATAGACATCACGTTGTACCAGTCCATCTCGTACTGGAGCAGTGAACATCGCATCAAATGCTATAGATTGGTTTAGGAGATGCAATAATGCCCCCACGTCTTGATCAAGTTTTGATTACTTAATCCCCTCTCGCACTCGACAGTGCTCAGTGGGAGCACATCAACTTCTTTCACTAGACACTTGTTCTAGCATATGCTTTCGCTAGACACTTGCTCAATGGGAACATTCAGAGCTCGCTCTGTCCTCTAGTGTAGTCGAAACCTGATGTACGGGAATGAGTAAAGAAGGGGATATATTTCAGAAACAAGAAGTAGAAACAGTAATGAGAAAATGAGTCATTGAAAAGAAGTGAACGAGAGAATGGGTGAACTATGAACGAAGTGAGTACAAATAGGAAACCCTAACTGGGTTGTACCCCCTATGGGATACCCCACTATAGCCTACATAAATAAGTAAGCTATAATGTTCTGACACACCCCCATAGGCAAAGTGGGGGAGAACAAGGGGTCACAAGACCAGTCAAGCAAAGCAAAGCAAAGCTCAGGGTGGATCACAAAGTCACCACACATTCCGAGCACAAGTTCAAAAGGCCAGAAGACCAGTTCACATGCAAGATCATATATAAAGATATACAAGAGCCAAGCAAGTAAGAGCAAGAGTATATATAGGTGAAGGTACAAGCAAGGTCAAGAAGTGAGCAAGTGAGGCAAGACAGACACAAGACCCAACTGCGTGCAACAACGCTGATGATCACAAGGCGCAAGTGCCTTAGTGAAGACATCAGCAGTGTTGGCCTCAGAGGCCACGTACGCAAGTCGCAACTGTCCACGCTGCTGCAGCTCACGAGCAAGAAAGTAGCGGAGGGCAATGTGCTTCGTTCTGTGCTCCAGTCGCTGCTCTCGACACAAGGCCAGCATGGCCTTGTTGTCTACGTACAGGACTGGAGGAGAACGAGGCTGCTCTCCAAGGTCGGTCAGCAGGTAGGTGAGCCAGCGTAACTCCTGTGCAGCCATAGCCCCAGCGTAGATCTCAGCCTCACAACTGGAGCCGAGAACAGAAGACGAGCGGGTAGCCCGCCACGAAACAGAGCCGGAACCAAGGCTGAAGGTGTAACCCTGTGACGACCGCTGCGTAGCCTGGTCGTCAGCCCAAGAAGCGTCTGCGTGCCCAGTGAGGACCACTGGACTGCGCCCTCCAAGCACTAGCCCCATGCCCGACGTACTGCACAAGTAGCGCAACACCCTCTTCGCTGCAGCCATGTGCTCTGGTCGGTGTCTCCCAGGAGCAACATAGCGTGCGAGAATGCTAAGAGGGTATGCAAGGTCAGGACGTGTGCAGGTCATCAGGTACATGAGGCAGCCAACAAGCTCTGCAAATGGGCCACTCGACTCTACGGACTCATCCGAAGGCAGAGCTGAGAGCGAGTGGCGAGTAGACAGAGGAGTGTCCTGAGGCGAGGAGTACGTGAAGCCGAAGCGCTGAAGGACCTGCTGCACCATGTGTGACTGAGTCAGGGTAATGGTGCGGCGCGCTCTGTCCCGGGTGATCTGCAAGCCAAGGTAGCTACGCAGTTCACCCACGTCAGTGCACGTATGTCTCTTCTGCAGCTCGGACTTCACGTAGGCGAGTCCAGCTGTGTCAGCTGTGGCAAAGACCAAGTCGTCGACGTACACGAGGATGTAGAACGGCGGCAGAGAGGTGTCGGTGCGCAGAAACAGCGACGGGTCGGCAGTAGACGGAGCAAACCCAAGTGCCGCGAGCGTAGTCCTCAGTGTGTCGTGCCACTCACGTGGCGCCTGGCGGAGACCGTAGACTGGACGCCGGAGACTCCACTGGGTACCAGGAGGGAAAGACCCAGTGAAGCCAGGTGGGCGGCGCAGCCAGATCTCCTCGTGCAGGCTGCCCTGCAAGAAAGCTGTGCTGAAGTCGAGAGAGTGCAGCTCGTAGTCACGGTGAGCAGCAACGTGCAGCAGAACCCGAAGAGTGGTCATCTTCGGGGTGGGGGAGAAGGTCTGAAAGTAGTCAACCCCCTGCCGCTGACTGAAGCCACGAGCCACGTAACGCGCCTTGAAGACAGGCGGAGAACCCGGCGGCCGCTTCACCCTGAAAATCCACATGCCACTGACGATGTTCGCCCCAGGAGGGGGGACAGCGTCGACGTAGGTGCCTGTGGACTTCCAGGAAGCCATCTGTGCATCCATAGCTGCCTGCCACTGAGAGGAGTAGGGACCCTCTATCGCCTCCGCGTAAGAGCGCGGAGTCGGGATGTCTGGTGCATCCGGGTCTCCCTCAGGGGCTAGCAGTACAGACGCGAGATGGGGTGAAGCGGCGGCCAGACACTGGAACTCCTCCTGCCTGTCCTCAAGGACGTCCGTGCCGAGGGCACACTCACCCCCGACGGACGGAGGACAAGCAGACTCAGACTCAGCGACAAGACTGGCAGCGTAGTCTAGACGACAGCGCGCAGCAAAGTCGACAAGCTCAGTGACAAGGGCAGACGCAGCAGACGACTCGAAGGAAGGGTCAGTGACAGCAGTAGCAAGGAGACGCGTGACAGTAGGACTGGCAGCACGAAGAGAGTCCGACTCCGGGTCGGCAAGAGCAGGAAGAGAGGAAGCAGGAGGAGAAGGCAAAGGGGCACGCAGAGGAGCAGTGGACGGACGCAGTGACATCCGGTGCGTGCCAGGGACAGGAGGAGGACGCTGACGCGACCCGCGACCACTAGCGCGCTCAGTACGAACAGGCGACGCAGGACGAGACGCAGGCTCACGACGCTCAGTAAGACCTCCAGTCGGACCAGCGTAGGGAGAAGGAGCAGGCAAAGGGGAGGCAGGCTGTAGCTGTGGCTGTGACCGGACAGGCTGCGGACCCTCTAAGGGAGGAGGAGGAGGTGGAAGACCAAGAACCTGCTGCACGAGCGGAACGAAGTACGGTCGGGGCCGCGCGGCGACGCCAGAAACAGCAGGAACAGCACCAGCACCCCCGGCAGGAGCACCCACTCCAGTAGCACCTCCAGCAGCACCACCAGAAGCACCAGAACCTCCAGCAGCAGCACCAGGAGCACTGTCAGTCGGACCGCCA